ATTCCTGCAACACCTCCTCCCTGAGCCGCTCTTGCCAGTCCTGGTTGGTGCTCAGCAAGAACATAGCCCAGGTTAGGAGATGGGAGGTGGTCTCGTGACCTGCGAAGAAGAAGGTCTTGCACTCATCAATGATCTCATCCATGCTCATGGTTTGGCCTCTCTGTTTCTGGCTGGCTTCCATCATCACACCTAGAAGATCATTTCCGAATCTCGAGTTGCTTGCCTCTAATCGTCCCCGTATGATGCGCACAAGCGTGTTCTTCACTCGTCTCTCTAGCTTCCATTTGTTTATATTCCTGTGAGTGGGAAGATACCTGCAGAAAGAGGACAGGCTCGGCGTCAGATTCTTGGTGATAGCTTAACCTCGAAATCTGGCAGGTCACCTGTGTCCAGGGATTTCGACGTCAAGAATAGATGCTGCGGCGAGCATCTGGAGCTGCTTCTGTGCGTAAAAGACTTCCTTTCCGTCCACGTAGCTGCTCCCGAATGCAGTATGAGAGATTATGTCTGCTGTCAGTTCTTGGAATTGTTTGGCCACCTCTATCTCTTCTCGCCCATCCGCTGCTTTCATTGCTAGATCATGCCAGCCTTCTAGCATCGATTTGGCGCAATCTGCCATCGTTCTTGTCAACAGCTACCAAGAAGATCCAAGACAACCATTCTTATCCAGGATGCATCATCTTCATCGATTCGGTGGAAGGGTTGCGGGAGACTCACCTTGAGCTTGTCCATCGTGAAAGCAGGGTTGACGACCCTTCGATGCCTCGCCCATTCCGATCCTTCTACCAGGACCAATCCCTTGCCCAACAGGGCCAAGATAGCGGAAGGAACATCCGACTTTGGGTAGAATCCAAACTTATTCGCAAGAACTTGCTTGACCATCTCCGGATCACTGATGAAGAGACTCGGCTTTGCTCCAAACCAGAACAAAAATACATCTCCTGTGGAAACAACAACATCAACATGTAATGTAGATAAAAAAAAATTGAGTCTGTAATATAGGCATGTTAAAAGATAGAGAGAGGCTAAGCGGAAATTAAGACCATATTCTGATATCCATTTGCGGTACTGTGGCAGCACACGCAGCGTGATATCATGACAGTGGTTTTCCAACACCAGCTGCATTGCTTCCCTTTGTATGCTTTTGATCTCCTCACTTGATCCGGACCAGAACTTGTAGGCAGGGCCTCCCACTCCTTGCTTCCTGAAAGCTGTCGTTATCGCATACGGCCTCCATGTCAGGTACACCAGCGCTCTCCAAACCAAGATTGAGATGAACACCACCACCACAGCACAGAGTACCAGACCAAGATCATATTCCATCAAGAACAAGGACTTGAGAAGGAGGTGGAGAATCCACTCCTATTTATGCCACGAAAACATCGAGCAGCTAGCGCATCTACTTCTCTGATGATACCATCGATGATGGAAACGAAGAGGGTTGGTTGGCTTTTTCTTCATCGAGCACTGCAGCCTATTGGCTGCACGCTTGTGAATAGACGGCTAATGCACGCATGCATTTGGAACTACTGACACTTGTCGAGTAAGAGAGAAACAGGGACAAAAGCATCCACCACAAGGGTGACGAAACCAGTCATGGTGGAGGTTGTGCAGGGCCGGCCATCGTGCATCATCAAGCCATGATAAGTTTGTCTAGATTGGAACTGTTGAGAGTAGGAGTTGCTGTTGGGTGCTTCTGCAAGATTGGCTAATCTAAGCAACAAGCTTTAACTTCCACACAGGTCTACACTGTGACGTTTCTTTGTGGAGCCAATGTTGCTCGATGTTGTCGTTTGGTGGTGGCTACGATGATGACCATGAGAAAGAAAGAGTGTGATGAGAATGTTGCACATCGGAAACTCCAACGATTCCTTGGTTTTGTAACCCTTCAAAATGAAGCTTCAAACAAAACAAAAAAGCTATGTGAAATGTGATCTAAAATATACACATACATACAAATACACACACACACACATATGGGTTTGCGGAATAACAGTCGAAGACAAGGATGGCCCATGCTAAAAAATGGGCCCCACCTGAAACCTCCTCCTCCCTCCATTCACCGTGAAGGTAGCGGCTAATACAAAGTCCGAGTCAACTTTAGATGAGGCCTGTACTAGTTAGTCCATGTCGAAATAGCGCTTTCCTCCCCTTCCTCATCCTCAAGTTCGATCACCAGTGTTCTTTCTGGAGAAGAAAAGAACAGAAGAACAGAACAAGCACTCCAAAGCTGTAATCACCACATCGCTGCATATTTCGATGACACGCTTCTTTCTAGTCTAAGGAAACAAAGCAGCAGCAACTGCTTAGAATTCAGTTCTCGTGACCAGCATTAATTGCTGCCCATTAGATGAATCGAGTTTTTAGCAACACTGCAGCACGCAGTATGTTCGTGCTCGATCAAGATAACTAAATTGCATGAAACTTCCAGAGTGGACCGAGACGATCTCGAGTGCCTGCAATTGGGACTTCATCTGGATTGAGATCTCGCTAAAAGTGGTTTATTCTTCCTAGAGATCTAACTAATGACACCACCAATCTATTAGTCAAAGAAAAAAAAGAAGACATGGTGGTCAAAAAGGTTGGATTAGTGGCTCTTTAATCTGTTGTATAATGCGATCAGAGATACAGCTAATAGTTCACAGTGCCGTAAACAAGTTGGAGTTTGGCAACGTCTGCAACTTAGCTAAGACTTCCACCTTGCGATGTTTTCGTCTTCACCACCGTTGAATGGATGAGGAGGTGCGCTGCTTTTCCCAATAACAACAAAAGGAACAACTCAACATTGATGTGGAAGCTTTAGACTTGGGAGCAAAGTGCAGTCATCAGTCAACTCTCTCCATGCAACAAAAGAGAATACTTCAAATGCTGCTACCGAACAAAGTAAGCTCAGATTTTGGATATAGAGGGAATATAATCGCCGAGAAAACTGCACGAGGAGAAATCCAAGTCCAGGACAACAATTCATGCTCAAAATTGATCATCTACCTCACTCGGTGCTGGATAATGTAACCAAGTGCCAAGTTCTTCATGTTGGGTAGAGAGAAGCTGACCTGCAAGTGGGGTGGACTAATGTTTTGTCCTTTGTTGGAGTCACCAACTTTTGATTCTACAAAAGTTTTCTAAAGAGATGAGAGGGACTAATGTTTTGTCCTTTGTTGGAGTCACCAACTTTTGATTCTACAAAGTTTTCGAAAGAGATGAGAGCCAATCCAATCGATGGGCACACATCCTTTGACCCTGGGGGAAACTAAAGCAATCTACAATCCTGGAGATACATACAAAATAAGGCAGACAATTCTGAAAGATAGAGATCAGCAACAACACATTCCAACAACGTTAACTTTGAATCATGTCATAAGCAGTACACAACTCGCATTTGCTTCTTCTTCTTCTTCTTCTCCACCCCATATGCATGCAAATATAACAAGTGATTAGGCATTGAGTACCAAATTGATAAGAACAACCCTTCCCACGTGAGATAAAAATGAGCTTTGGTAAGAAGTAATAAGCCGATCAGTAAACTGTTGAAGGATAGGATCATAAGGAGTATTTAAAAGAAAATATGTCCTCCTGGATTTAAAATTGGTTGTAAATTTCCTTCCGAATAGTTTATAATGTTAACCTTAAGATTCGTTAAAGGCGTATAAAATCTAAGAATATGAAAAATGATATCATCTTGAAGCAAAAAGATGATCAAATTCCGATCACAAACCTAATTCAAGAGGAAAGACAATAGTTGTGATACAATTATAAATAAGACGATATTGGATCACCAAATAGGACAGAATCCAACCAAAGCACTTTAGGAATTTAGCAATATATAATATATTAATAACAACTTCTCAAGAGAGTTTATAGTAGGTTTTTTATAAGTCAAGTTTGATTAAAATAAAATATTTTTTTATTTTTAAAATAATATATGAAATAAATAATTTTCTAGATAAAGGTGGGGTAACAAATGAGGTGGATATGTCACTATCATCAAACGCCAAAGACCTTTTACCGTAGTGTCACGGACAAACTTCTAAACAAGGTGTTTGATGTAATGCTTATGTATGTCCGTGTCTTTTGGCATGTTCATGCCTTGTACAGAATGTAAAGGGGTGGCCGAAGGCTTAATAGTCCCATTTTAGTTGGGTTGGTGGCCTCTTTAGGCTTGTAAATAAAGGTTGTGTCATGTGGACACGCTCGAGAGCTTTTCGGTCTGTAATGGACCATTTTACCCTTTGTTGTGCCACTGTTCAGAGCTTGTAATAGTCTGTTTGTAATTTGCATTGTCTATGAAGTGTTTTTCGGAGATGTTTGCTTGTGGATCCCGTTGGAGGCGTTCTCTCTAACT